GTTAGTCAAGGCCAGAAACACTGTGATTCATTGTGCTTGAGGTCATAAATATTTTCTTGTGAGCATGGGCCCACTTATGTAATCTGTGTGCCTTCTTTCTTTGGCCTGCATATAAAAAGGGCTTATGGGAAAGACTCTGGGGTGAAATGGCGGCAAAAATAAAACTGGCTGAGGGCTGAAGTCAAAGCTGGAGGCTGTTGCCACCTCTATTATCCTAACTACGTCATGCCTCATCTTCTACCTGCTGAGTCCTTAACTTTGTTTCCTGGGTCAGAGCCCCTGCACAACAGAAGGGTATGGAGGAAATCTTCTGGAGGAGAAGATTTACTGGGAAGGATTTGGATAAAGTCAGTCTATCTCCTCTCCATCTCCTCAACCACCTTTCCTTCCATATTCCCTTAGCCACAGGCTAAGGGGGTTAAAGACCGTTACTTTTCTTTTCCCAGGAGTTTGAAAAGGTGCCTTCCAGCCTTGTCCTACAAGACTGCATAATGATGGTCTCTTAGGCAAGTACCACTTAAGGAGGGTCACTTACTCTGCAGCTGGGGGTTTGGGGGAATGGTATGTTGGAAAATGTTTAACACCTAGCTTCCTGGGGGGAGGAAGCCTTGATTTGTGGCATTTGCCAATTTCTGTGGTGTAAATAATCACACGATGGCCAATTGCAAGCTACCAGTATGATGTCACTGAACTCTAAAGTTGGAAGTAATGCTCATAATCTGCTCTTGAGGGCCAGTGCCAACTCTTTCTAGAACACTACTGTATTGTTATCTCTAAGCCTCTTTACAGTAGTTTTCTTTTTTCCATTTTATTTATTTATGTGTAAATTTTTTATTAGTACAGTATAGTTATATATAACACTGCTCGTTTTGACATAATTATGTAAGCATAGAATAGAATTTGCTCTAGTCCAGTCCCCAGTACTTCTCCTTACCCTCTCACTCTCCCTCTCCTGTTCCCTTTCCTCTATTCAATTAGTCTTTCTTCAATTTATTTATTTATTTTTAAATTAGATATATATATATATATATATATATATATATATATATATATACTGATTTCATAGTGCTATATTCATATATGTACATAGAATGATTTGATCACTTTCATTCCACTGATCCTCCCTTTTTTAAAAAAAATTTGTATTTGTAGATGGACAGAACGCCTTTATTTTATTTGTTTATTTTTATGTGGTGCTGAGGATCAAACTCAGTGACTCACACATGCTAGGCAAGTGCTCTGCCGCAGAGCTACAGCCCCAGCCCTGTTCCTCCCTTTTGACATCCTTCTTCTTTTCCCCTCATCTACTACACTAATCTCTCTTCTATTTTCATGGGATTCCCTCCCACCCCTCACTTTTTAAAAGAATTTTTTTAGTTGTAGGTGGACGCAATACCTTTATCTTATTTTTATGTGGTGCTGAGGATTGAACTCAGTGCCTTCCACATGCAAGGTAAGCACTGTACCATTGAGCTACAACCCCAGTCCTCCCACCCATTTTAAAAGATCTTTTTTTTTTTCTTTTGGTCTAGTTTCTGCATATGAGAGAAAACACTTGACCCTTAACTTTCTGGATCTGGCTTGTTTCACTTAGCCTGATATTCTTTAGTTCTATCCATTTTCCATCAAATGCCATAATTTCATTCTTCTTTATGGCTGAGTAGAACTCCATTGTGTATATATATATCACATTGTATTTATCCACTCATCTGTTGATGGGCTTCCAGGCTGGTTTCATAACTTGACTATTGTGAATTGTACTGCTTTAAACATTGATGTGGCTGCATCCGTATAGTATGCTGATTTTAAATCTTTTGGATACATACCAATGAGTAGGATAGCTGGGTCATATGGTGGTCCCATTCATATGTTTTTGAGGAATCTCCATACTACTTTCCAGAGTGGTTGTAATAAATTGTAGTCCTACCAACAATATATGAGGGTTCCTTTCCTTCACTCCCTTGCCAGCTTTTGTTATTATTTGTATTTTTGATAATTGCCATTCTGTCTGGAGTGAGATAAAATATCATTATAATTTTGATTTGCATTTTCATATGTCGAACATTTAAAAAATATATATATATTTGCCATTTGTTTTGTTAGTAGAAGTTTTCTATCAGGTCGTTCAGAACCAAACTAAGACTAGTGGGTGGAAACTTCAGAGAGGTACATTTGGGCTTCTAAGAATTATTCTTCTAAGGTGGCTGGATGTGGGTAGCTAGTGGGAAAGAACTAGGGAGTTGGCTGGTACTCAACCTTTGATTCTGATCATGTGGTTACTTGACTTTTGACTTAGATGTATGGATGACTGCCAGACTAACAAGGAAGTGGAGAGTGGGTGTGTCTGATAAATAGACTACAAGCACTGGTCATGTTTCTGGCAGTAGAAGTTTTGCAGGACTTCAGAGGCCATGAGTGGTATCCATCTTGCTCACGTTCTTCATACCCAGATCATTGCTCAGTCCCCTCTTATGGACCTTACTCTGGCTAATTTCACTTAGGGCTCCTCTATGAACTCCCTCAGTACTTCCCAGGCTAGTCCCACTGCTCAAAATATACCAGGTTGATCCTCCTTGTGCTGTTTCAGGTTAATTCCAGTCAGTTTGTCCCAGGCTAACACCCTAAATACATCTCAGCCCTACTTAACCAAACCTTTCCCACCTTTCTGGGCTTTCCTAAGTACATCATGTAGGAATCCTTCATTTCAAGTGAAAGAAAATCCAACTCAAATAGAATTTATACAACAAAGAGAATTTATTTGCTCACTTAAACCTTTCAAAGGTAATCTTAGGTTTAGGTGAAACTTTATCTAGGAGTTCTAGATCACGTGCTTATCTTGGAAATAATTAATCACTATGGGCAAGATGAATACAATCTGTACTATACTATCAGGATGGTCAGGTGGGTATCTAGTAGGACTAGGATCTGAGAGTTGGCTGCTGTCCAGCTTGTGACTCTAGTTGTTTGCTGACTTGCCTTTTGCCCTACCAGGTTATAGCCAGGGAGTGATCAGCAGTGTATGACAGATAGACTATAAATATTACATAAATACAGGTCCATACTGGAGTTGAGGGTGAGGGCAATTCCAGTGCATTCCAAAGGCAGTGAATTTGTGGTACTGTGTAGAAGGGATAATCATGAAATAGATGTTGGAAAGTCATTCAACCAATATCTACACTACCCATCTAATAACTTCTAGCCTAGCCTTATTTACTTTTAGGTGAATCTCATATACTTGTTGCCAGTAGGCATGGCTCCTTTATCAGATTGGAGCTTTCTTAGAAACCTTTCCCCCCAATACTTCTTTTATTACACTGCCAGGCTGATAAATTAATTTACTATAAAGCATGAAAGTCTGCAGTTAGCTTATCATGTACCCTTATTCTCTGACCTGGATGACTTGCATTTTAAATGGGGCACTCATTTAAAATGAGTGTTTTATTGTTTTAGTCCAATAAATTGAAGAACAACTGTGGAATTTGTGGAAGTGTGGCAGATTAATGGAGAATACACTTTTGGATTTCCATTCATTGTAGTCTCTTTTTGCCTTTTCTGCCTGTGGGTACGCTCTGGGTACACTCTTCCTAACTGGGAGTAGGCTTGATCTTCTCTGCCAGAAGGGATGAGGAGGCCATGTTGACACCTCACTCTCCTCTAGGTCGGTACCCGCCATCTGTGCACTGAGTTCTTGAGTTCCAAGTCCACCTGTGTTCTCATTTGCCCCTTGAAACCTCCCTGCCCCACTCAGTCTTTGCTCTTCTGTCCCTGCTGGCAATCTGACTTCCACAGACTGACTTCCCCAGGATCCCTTATCATCTCATTTCTGTTTGGGAAAGCCTGGAAGGTGGCAGAGGAAAGGGTTTGGAACATTTTTTTCTCTCTTTCTTTCCAGTTCCAGCATCACTTCTCTGATAATACTTTTTTCCTCATAAATCCAGCTTCCACCAGGCTCTGGAAACACTGTTCCTCCAGCCTGGGAGAGTGGACGGATTTCCTGCTGTTGCTAGTCTCAGGATGCTACAGCATATCTTGTTTGATGCCTTAACTCTGCCTACTCTTCATCTAAAACATCCGCAGTGAATTCTGCGTGCTGCTGGGGCACTGATTGATACAAGCCAACATTGGAGGAAGAAGCAAGAGGTGCTTGGGCCACGCTTGTTCTTCAACAGAAACCTGGACTAGGACATTGGGGGATGGCCACTGCCTTGCTGTGCAACTTTGGATATTTCCCTACCCATTTCTGGGCCTAAGTAGCTCTATCCATCCAAGAGGGATTGCATTTGATGAACTCCCTTAATCATCCTGAAAGGATGATATGCTATGTTCTTAAATGTCACATTTATTCTATGGTTTTTTGGGGGTACAACTGGCTCTTTTCTGTCTCAGGATCTCTCTTCTGTGGGTAGAACATTATCCATAAAGTTGCCTCACAAAAAAAGGACCCAAAGCATTATGGGCCTGACAAAAGTACAAGTCTGTCTAGGGTCCACGTTGAAGGAGATAGTGGAAACTTTCTTATAAGAGAGCACAGGCAAGCTGAGTCTTGATTTCATTATCTGGGAAATCGGTATAAAGAGCAAGCACCTACAATCTCCTTGTTTTCTGGGTGAATTGAGAACAGTGTGTACAAAGTCCTGGAAACATACAAGGTGCTTGTGGGAAAAGGGAGTTTTTATGCCAATGTTATGCATGATTCACTTTCTGTTTGCTCTTGCAAGGTGGGATGACCATTGCCTGTTTTTTTTTTTTTTTTTTTTTTTGAGCCTACTACCTAGTTTCTCTTCAGTCAAGTTTTGGGAGAAGTCAGCTAGGTATTCTCTTCTGTTGTTCACGACTTTTGAGATTGTTGTCTCCACCCTTTGGCACTCAGCCCAATCTGGACTACTGTTGGCTGCAGGGTGTGGCTGGGGGTGGGGACTGGCTGGATGCCTGGATCCAGAATAAAAGAGAACCCAGAAGCAACTGGAGGCAGGCTGGACCTGGGTGCTGCAACTGTAATCATGGTGCCCAGCTTTCTGTCCCCGAGCTTCTCCCGACTGAGCCTATGGGTGTCTGGAGTGATCTTGGTCATCGGCTTCCTCAAGCTCCTTCGCCTGCTGCTGCGGAGACAGAAGTTGGCCAGGGCTATGGAAAGCTTCTCAGGGCCCCCCACCCACTGGCTCTTTGGGCATGCTCTTCAGGTATGTGGGGAGGGGTAGAGAAAGGAGGCAGCTCCCTTTCTTCAGAGAATCAGGCCTAATCCCCTAGGGGGCTGGGGTGGGAGACCTTCAGCTTAGGCAAGGGGAGTGATTTCTGTTCAGCTTTCCTACTGGCACTGCTTCCTCATTCATGCCTTTGAAGGTGGCTTCAGAAGGAGTGAGCACTTCACATTGGGAACATCTCAGGTTACAGACTCCTTCCATCATTGTGAGGCTCAAGGTTCGACGATGGCATAGGAAAGGAACCAAAGCCCCTGACAGTGCCCTAGAACTAGGCTGTCAGGTTTAGAGTGTCATCGTTATCCTCTTTGCTCTATGCAGCGTAAAGATTTCCATTTCTAAGGCAGAAAATGAAAGAGGCAGAGATAAGCAATGCCATGAGAGACCTCCCAGAGGGTCTAAATTTTGGTGATGGGACACAGAGGAGGCATGGCATCTTCATGGGTTTAGATCCTGGCTCATCCTCTCATTATTGCGGTGTGGTGGGGACCATCATAGTACCCACTTTTAGGAATGTCTTCTGTCATGAGCATCTAGATCAGACATTTCTAAACACAAGGTAGGGAAGTAGAATCACTGGGAGAAGCAGATTTGTGGGTTTTCCAGCACCTGGAGATTCTAATTTGTCAGATCGGGACCAGGAATCTGAGTTTTAAAACCTCCAGAAGTGATTTAATCTGCAGCCAAGTTTGGGAGCCCAGGTGTAGATGCCAGAGATTAGGGCTCAGGGACATATTTTTTCCTTTTACCTCTTAAATCCTCTTTCCTCATCTTCTATCTAGGGAATTGCCTCTCTTCTACTATTGACTCCAGAAATGAGCTTGACCTCAAGGCTTATTCTTGCCTCTAGATAATCTTTTGGAGATAGCCTAGTAACTTATGTGCATCCTGGGGACAACTAGGAAAAAATAAATGTGGGTTGGGGAGAAAACCAGACCCTGCCCAGGCTCTCATGGAAATTACTATCTAGAGGGGAAAGCAGACACCGGAGCCCTGGGTGAAGTGCCTCCCCAGTATTCCACATTAGGTCCATTCTTTTTGCTTCAGTAATTTCCCATCTTTCCCTCCAGTCTGTGACCTCTGGAGGATAGAGATCTGTTCTGATTCATCCCTGGGATCTCAAGGTTCAGCACAATGCCTGGCACAGACCAGCCATCATCAAATGAACCAATAGGGAATATTGGAAAGTAGTGAGGAGTATTTGAAGAGGGGAGAGAGAGAGTGATAGAGATGATACATGGAGGGGTCAGGAGGGCTTGGTAGAATCTTTGCCAAGTATGGAAGGAGGGTCATGAGAAGGTTGAAGTCTAACCCTCATGAAGTGAATATGAGAGACATTTAGGGAGACTTTCAATTCCCCTTCCATCCCCAATTCTACCTGCTTCCATCAGAATTAGGTTTGCTCTCATAGTGGGCTTCCCCAGGACAGAGATCTTGTCCTCTTCACAACTCTGTGCCAGAGCTGACTGTCCTCTTCTCTCCTAACCTCCCCCTCTCCTGAAACTTGGGAGTGTGAGGAAGTCTGGAAAAGAGTCCAGGCCTGGCTTCTCATCTCCAAAACAACCACCTAAAGGGCTTTTGCTTGACACTAGGAACATGGGCATGTAAAGATCAAATGGGTGGTTGCTCCTAAACACTAGAAAAGTTTCCTGGGGAACCATGGAAGGCATAGAACCACTGTGTGCCTTCAGTGCTTGGCACCTCTGATGTTGTTTGGATCCACACCTGAACCTGAGAAATAGGGAGGGTAGGGAGGGGGGAGGATTAGTTTCCCTAGTGTAAAGATGAGGAAGTTGAGATTCAGAGGGGGAAAAATATTTGCCTAAATCCATACAATAGCTCAGAAATTGAGTTAAGGCTGGGCCCTGGACTCCTGCATTTTAAATCAGGACATGATTGATCCATAAAAAGTAACTGCAAGTTTGATTCCTAGACTTGGTGCAGATGCGAGTGGGAAGGGAAGGAAGAGGATTGGTGGTTGAAGGGTGTTGGATATGGAGTTGTCCATCAGGATGGGCTTCTCCCTTTTTGGTCTCCAATCATGAGGCCCTGAGTGTCTACCTTTTATCCTACTCAATTCTTAGAATGTGTCTTGTTGGGATAGGTCAGTTCCTATTGTAGAGTGCCTCTTATTCTGCTCTGGGGCTTAAGGAAGACTTTGCACATATTAGGTGTTAATTGTGGATCTAGGGTTGGGGTTTCTGGGAGGAGCTGACAAATCAAATGTGTGCATGTGTGGAGGGGAGCATGCCTGTTTCCAGTCCAAGGGCAGGTAATCCCCTGAGTTCCCTGAGACCTTGCCCCTGGCCCTGCCCATCACTGGAATAGTCCCTGGAATAGACCCTGGATGGGTTAGTGAAGACACTGGCTCATTTTATTCAGCAAACATTGACAATGGGCCTTTGCTGTGCCCTATTGGGTAAATCACTCCCCTCTCTATGCTTCCATTTTCTTCTTGATAAAATAGAGATATCACCTTCAACTTGCTGTGTTGGAGTTAGAAGAATATCAAAAGGAATACAGTATGGAGTCTTAGCAAGCTGCTAAGATAGCAGATAGATGTCTACTGTTAAATCGTTGTAGAGGGATTTTTGATGCAAAACACCCCAAGATATTTGCTTCCTTTGTTCTCCTATTTCCTTCCAAATAAATCCAGTCTTTGGTCTTTCTTTTCCCGGGCAACAAACATTTGACCAACAACTCCATGTCTGATCCTATGCTGAGATCGGAGGGTGAAGACTAAAGGACCTAGATCTGAGGGAGAGATGGATAACACAGCACATTTTTATGGATCCTAGGGCTGAGAGAAGGGACCTCTCAGCTTGGGAGTCAGAATAGTTCCCGGGAGGTGATATTGAGGTGACTCTTATAAGGTCTGGAGGCAGAAGTTCATGGAAATGCAGAAGGAAAGACAGAAGAGGCTACCTGGGTATAGGCATAGATGCTGGAAAGAGCACTGTGTGTTTAGGACGTTAATTTGATTTTTTTTTTTTGTACTGGGGATTGAACCCAGAGGCTCTCAACAACTAAGCCACATTCACAGCCCTTTTAATTTTTTTATTTTGAAATAAGTTCTCACTAAGTTGCTGAGGTTAGTTTTGAACTTGTGATCCTGCCTCAGCCTACTGAATCACTGGGATTATTAATTTAATTTTTGAGTTGTAGTATGTGCCTGTGTCAGTAGCTCAGCATTTCTGGAAGGTGAGAACAAGGACATAATAGAGAGGATGAGGCAAGTGGGGGCAGAGGCAGGTCGTGTACATACTTGTGGTCAGGCCAAGAGGCTATGTTTTTTTCCCCCAAGAACAACGTTAGAGCCATTGAAGCAAGGGAATGACCGAGGTTGGACTTGTGTTTGAGAAAAATTACAAAGCTTGTGGTGCATAGATTGACAGAGACCAAACAGGAGGCCGAGAGGCCAGGGTGGAAGGCAAATAGGAGGCGAGGGGCCAGGGTGGTGGGAAAATGGTGGATAGGAAGGTCAGGTGCAGGGCAAATTGGGAGCCAGGAAGGTTAGGTGGAGATAATCTAGACAGATGCTGAGGAGGCAGTTAGTGGAATGGAGCGGAATGAGGGGTAGAATAGGCCAGGTCTGGGCACGGTGGGCAAAGGAGAGGGGTATTAAGGCCTCTGCCACAGATGTGAAGGTATCAGTGAAGTCCCCTTTACCACTAGGAAAAGGGGACAAAGATTGCCCTTGGAGCTTTATTAAATTGAGGTATCCATCCATCTCAATCACAGTGGGATTTGGCAATATTAGTTAGAGAGAAAAGGATCCGTTGAGCCACATGGATGGGATTTGGAGGACTGTAAACAGAGCAATGAATTTCTGTCAAATTCAAATATGCATGGATCTGAGGCCCAGGAAGAAGAGGCTCAGGGCTGGCAGCACATATCATTGTTAGGGTGTGGGACCCTTGGGTACTGGATTTGTAGAGTTTCATGGTGGGAGACTCCTCCCTGGAGCTGCTACATCTGGTTTTATTAGCTCTGTTTTGCCAATTCCACTGTAAAATTCACTTGTAGAGCCTGCAGTGAGGAGAGCCAGATTCCACACAGGATAGCAGGGACCTTGCTGTCACTATCAACCATGGAAAGAAATCATATTTCATATTCCTAGCTAGCATTGAGATGGGTGGTGGTTCCATTCTATGGGATGGGGCTAGGTACAGATTTTGGAGGAAAACATGATATGTATAAACTTATGTGTGCACTTGTTTCAAAATGCTGGGTTTGAGGGACCTGGAGGATATCATGTAGAGACTTCCATACACCTAAGATGGGCTGGGGATATAGCTCAGTTGGTAGAGTGCCTGCCTCCAATGCCTAAGGCCCTGGGTTCAGTTTCCAGCACCACCAAACAAACAGACAAACAAAAAAACCGCCTAAGACAACAGGATATCAAGGGACCCAAGAGCTGCTTAATAGTCCCAAGGGGATGCTGCCATTGCTGCTTAGCCTGTGTGTGAATGGCTTTGCTCCCCCGAATTAAGTCACCAAGGGTTTTATTCATTCATCCAAAACATGGATCTAAGTAGTTCCAGAGAGTAGAGCAGAGATGCACGGGAAAGGCTCCAGGCGGGTGACTTTCAGTCCAGTGACTAAGAAGTCTTGTTAAGAATTTTGACAGTCCCGAATATGGTTGCATTGAAAAGCAGTAAGTTTCCTGTCGCTAAAGGTGTCTGAGGTCTCACACGTAGAGATACTCGGAGGGTGGAGGTCTGAGGCCAGGCAACTTGTGATATTTAGAGACTGAGATCAACATGACCTGTACTCAGAAGGTTGCAACTTGCTAGGGAAGAGGAAATCTCTGTTTTCTCCCCTCCGAACTGTTTTTTTTTTTAATGTCCTTACCATTTTGTGAACAGATTAATTTTGGTTCTCAAGAGAGAAACTGGGAGCGCTGTGGCTACAGTAGATTGGAGAAGCAGGTAGTTTTTTCTTTGGACACTGGCCAGCTAAGCTTCAGGACAACTGTCTGGTGGCCTAAGAAGTCTTATTAACAAGAAAGACAGCAGGAAGAGCCTCAGTCATGATTCTTGTTTGACTCTGACTTATGTGGGACCGTTCCCACATCAATTCCCTTTGGACTTTGGGCTGTTCCCACCTATAAAAAGAGGTCATAGTTTGACTAGGCAATATTGATGTCCTCTTCTGATCTGATTCTTGGAGCAAAACCTATTCAGACTCTTGGGGAGTAGAGCAGGGAGGGATAACTAATGCTCGCTTTTCCCAGTCCCTCCTATTGTTTATTCCTAGTAGGGTTAACAAGGAGTGCAAATTAGAGGATGAGGTGGGTGGGGCTGGGGAGCTAGGTTCAGTGAATTATCTCCATATCCTGATTTCCCCCTGCTTCCTTCCTTATGGAGAAAAACAAACTGTCCCAGAGTTACGAGTAAATGTCTTAGCTCAGGGAATCTGAGGACAAGTCTGATGCAACCTGTTGTATAACCGAGAAGAAATGGCCAGCAGCCATATGTGTCCCAGAAGGAAGACATCCCAGAACTCTTGGAGGGGCTGCAGATGCAGGTTTGGGGGAAAATGCTGGGAGCTGTCCTCACTCGACCTAGGTTCCTGGGGCAATCGGTGGCACAGGGAGTCTACGGCAAGTTGACTGTGACTTGAAGTCAGGGTCAGCATGAGGTCAGGGTCTCCTGTCTATGGCAGGGATGCTGAAGGACACAAGCATGGTTGATAAGGAGGGAAATGGGGTGCAGATGAACCAGATCAGCCATAGGCTCTTTTCAGTGCTGGGATACTATGAGTCTGGCTTTTCTGTGACTTAAGCCTTTATCTGCCACATCCAATTTGGCTTCCTGGACCTGGGAGAATGGGGAAAAAGGAAGTGGCCCTGGTGATCAGAAAGTTGATAAGGAAAACCTAGGAGGGTGGATGGAAAAATAAGAGACATGAGGAAAAGGAGTACTTCTAGGAATAAGAGCTTGAAAGGCAAACTAGAATTTTCCCTCTTAATTGTAGGTAAAGATGATTTTTATCACTTTGTGGGGTTTTATTTGATTGAATATATATTATATACGTATATATAATATATATACAAAATATTTTTATTGGCATTGTATTATATATAATAGTGGGATGACTCATTGTTATGTATTTGTACATGCACACAATTTGGTCAATTTAGGTCTCCAGTAGCTCACCTTTCCCTCACTTTGTGCTTTTTGGCAACGTGTGCTCGAGGGTGATGAGAACTCTTACAACCATCTTGGGTTGAACTCAGGATCCTGATGGATGAAACTCTGGGGGAGAATACACCAAACTTCAGGGGGCATGGGAGGAGAGGAACCCCAGAGAAGGCACAGCTGATGGCTGGTGACCAAAATAGGCCCAATCCTCAGGATCTGTGGAGGTGGTGACTTGGATCAGACAAGGTTCCCTGGACTTAAGGCAGTGGCTGAGGGGCTGGAGGAGGCGCTGCATCCAGCTGTTGAGGAGAGAGTGTGCAGAGGAGTGGGGAGAGAGCCCCCAGCTGCGTGGGCTGCCTCCTCTCTTCTCTGCCTAGCGACCTAGGGCCTGGCTAGTGACGCTGGGTTCCTGACCTTCTATTACTATTTCAGGCTAAGCAGACAGACTTCCTGGAAAGGGTGGTATCCTGGGCCCACCAGTTCCCTTATGCCCACCAACTCTGGTTTGGACAGTTCCTTGGCTTCCTGAACATCTATGAACCTGACTATGCCAAAGCTGTGTACAGCCGTGGGGGTAAGGTACCTCAAGGAGAAGGTGGGGCTTTCTGAAAGCAGAGGGCTCAGAGCCTGGGCATCTGTCCTAAGTCTGGGAAGAGGATGGTGAAGGTCCCAACCCCATTCATCAGTGAGCCTCCTCTGGGAACCCCCATCCCTGCTTGACCGACTTCTACTTCTACTGCAGACCCTAAGGCCCCGGATGTGTACGATTTCTTTCTCCAGTGGATTGGTAAGTGAGCACCTGCCTTCCCTTCTTTTCCTTTCTCACCCTTTGTGCTGGGTGGCCAGGATCTGGTCCTGTCTGCCTCACTGAGTCATTGATCCTATCAGTTGAACAGGCCAGCCCCCAATGTGTCTGTTCTGGCTCAGCAGCTCAGTGGGAGGAGCAGGAAAGCTCTTGGCTGGCAGGGAAGTGGGGCCAGGACCTCCTTTATTGGGCCTGCCATATTGCTTCCTTTCCAGGCAGGGGTAGGGCTCTGAGATATGTGTGGGCATGACGAAAGTGGCTCTAGAGTTGCTCTATAGGACATTTTAGTAGATAGTGCTCTCTGGGGCAAGGTTCAGAGGAAAGTTATACTAGTAGGACCATGGCTGGTGTCACCAGAGACTAAGAGCTCTGGGTGACTGGAAAGCAGACCTCAATTCGGAGATGAGGCTCGGCAGGGAGGATTGGTTACCTTTGTTATCAGCATGAGGACTGTGGGTTGATGTTGAGATTAGGTGGGAGACATTGAGTGTTTTTGAACCAAGGCCATATGCTTCTCCAAAGTCTTTTTACTTACGATCAGCACCTTCCTGGAGCTGAGAAGAGCAGGGCAAGAGGAAGAAAACAGTCTCAACACTATCGACTCACAGAGAAACACAGGGAAGTCTTTTATTTTTTGCGGATTTCAGTGATTATTACTCTATTTTTAACTGTCAAAGGGAGGATAAAAAGAAAGGACAAAAGGCTTAGGAAAATGAGATGCAGTTTTGAAGATAGGAATGCATTTCCATGGCTGGGTATGTGTGTGTGGTGGGGGGCGGGGGGAAGGAGGATAGGGTTCCACCTGAGGCCACAAAACACAGACATGGCAGCTTGTCCCCTAGGTCTTGAAGCTGTGGCCACAGTCCCAGCAGCTAAGAGCCAAGGCCCAGCTGGCTTCCCTCCTGCCTGTCTGTCCCTAGGGGGCCAAATCTCCTTAGTGTGAGCTCGGTGTTCTATGAGTCCTGGTTTTGTAAGTGCTGCTGAGGGGCAGAAGCTGTGCCATCTTGCCCTGAAGAAGAAGCTTTCTCAGTCAAGAACTTCTTCTGCCTCTGTGTGCCTAGTTGGTGGGGGTACAGAGTGTAATTTAGTGGCCCACCCTAGAGGGTTTCAGGCTGGGGATGGGAAATGGGGAGTGCTTCATCCCAGGGTGCTAGGTTTGGAGCAGGATTATCTGAATTCACCAGCCTTCCATCTTTAATCTCCTCTCAGGGGAAGGCCTGCTGGTTCTTCATGGGCCCAAGTGGTTCCAGCACCGCAAGCTGCTCACACCTGGCTTCCATTATGATGTGCTGAAGCCTTACGTGGCTGTGTTTGCTGAATGCACACATGCCATGCTGGTGAGCTCCCTGTGGCAGGCTCCTGGAGCTGTGGGCTGATGGGCTAGCCCTCTGTACCCTCATTTTGCCCTGGGGGAGGGAAGGTGGTGCTCTGTAGCTGGGAGATCCCCTAAGTCCCTGAGTCTACCTTCTGCCTGCAATACCAATGCCCTGCTCTGCTGCCCTCCTGTTGCATGACACTGCTGGCTAGGTGCTAAAACCCCCAGGGTCCAGGTAGCCCTGGTTTTGTCTCCATCAGGAGGTCCAGCCCTCTTTCTTGTCAGACCAAAAGGCTCTTGGAGGCATCAATAAAAGCCTTATTGGAGCAGATTTGAGGGCTGCCTGTATTTGAGAGTATCAGGAAAGTCCTTCACATCTAAAGTGTCTCCTTTTCATTCTCTGCTCATCACAGTTCCTATCCCTGATGTGGCTACAACTTATCTCTAAGAGGGATATCAAGTCAGCTTAGGGTCTCAGGGCTGGAGAATTCCTAGAGGCTACCAGGGCTAGTCTTTTCCTTTGTAGGAAACTCCTCCAGCATTACTGCAGGCCTGATGTGCACAGGTGTGCTGCAGGTGTGCTGGGGAGCTCGCCACCTCTTGGCATACCTGTTCCTTCATTGGCTGCTCTGACTGGGAGAACGTCTCTGTACACTCTGCAAGATCTGCCTCCTGGTCCTGCATTATGGACCTGATGCCCAGAGGTTGCCAAACCCCATAATCCAGCAGCATGCAGGGCAGGGCAGGGACTGGGAGTACACATAGAGGGGAGCTTGGTGGCAGAAGGGAGGTTATGGGTCCTGAAGGGGAGAGAGGGGCATCCATCCCAGCTGACCACCACATTGTCTCCCATTTCTGGGTTCTAGGACAAATGGGAGAAAAAGGCTCTTGAGGATAAGAGCTTTGACATCTTCTGTGATGTGGGCCACATGGCACTGGATACACTCATGAAATGCACCTTTGGTAAAGGAGAGAAAGGCCTGTGCCAAAGGTCAGCAGACACTTTGGGGTTGGCCCCCTAATTCCTATCCCAGGCCAGCTCAGAGGAGAGTTGGCAGGGCTCCTGGGCCCAGATTGAAGAACAGATTGTGTCCTGTCCTATTGCCCTGTTGGGATGAGCCAGGCCTTGCTGGTGCTTGCTTTAGAGAGGAGGGTTAAGGGTAAAGGAGGGGAAGAGCAGGAGGTGCTGTGCTTGGGCCAGATGCTTGGAAGGGAGCTGCTCAGGGCTCTGCCCTCCGTGCACCCTCTGCTGTGCAGGGACAACAACTACTACTTGGCAGTTAGTGACCTCACACTACTGATGCAGCAGCGCATCGAGTCCTTCCAGTACCACAACGACTTCATTTACTGGCTCACCCCACATGGCCGCCGCTTCCTGCGGGCCTGCAAGATGGCCCATGACCATACAGGTGGGTCTTCCCTGCAGGGCCCACTCCTAGGAAACCTGGGTTCTTCCTCCCAGCTCCTCTGCATGCTTCCTATTATAGGACCTCAGTTCCCTTTTGGGCAGAGGATGGGTTCCCAGGCACAGCACAACCTGTGCTCCTGGCCCAGACCAGGTCATCAGGAAGCGGAAGGAAGTCCTGAAGGATGAGAAGGAGCAGGAGAAGATTCAGAAAAGGAAACACCTGGACTTCCTGGATATTCTCTTGGAAGCACGGGTGAGTATGTAGTTGCCCAATCCCACTGAGAGCTGGTCACAGAGGGATCTCTGCCTAGGGCCAGCTGTCCAGCAGAAGAGGCTGTTAAGTACTCCTTACCTTTTTACCTGGTAAATATAACTTGCTCCTTGTCCCATGACACATATCAACAAAGCTGCAGATACTCAGGGTGTGTCTGGCTGGGCTGTGGCATCAGAGATCTGAGAGCTTGGGTTACATGGTAGAAGCCTGAAGATATTTCCAGACTTCTAAAAGCCCCAAGAATCTTGGCATTGTAGAATCTTAGAATTTAGGCTTTATTCATTTGGTCCTTTATTTTTCTGTTCTATAAACTCACTGAGTACCTGCATGGAATCTGTTTTTGCACTAGGGTATAGAGATGGGAAAGACCTGGCCCTGCCTTCCAGGTTCTTACAGTCTAGTAGAGGGAATAGTTGGTGGATGTTGACAAAGATATCTTCACCTGCCAGGTGGCATTCTGTGTGTCAAGTGAGCAGAGTTGACAGTTGGGGTAGGGTAAGGTCACAGGTCATTTGGTCAGAGAGATCGGAGATTGCTTCTTGGAGTAGGAGGCATCCAGGCTGGGCTTGGAAGATGGGAAGTTCATACTCCCAGTCTGCAAAGCAGCTTTCACTTTCTCCTCCATATCTGCATTTGATAACTCCTGTTTCAATTTCTGTTTAATATCTACTTCAAGTGCTTTGAGCTGTCTCATTACCCCTTAACCCAGGATGAAAATGGGCTCAGGCTATCAGACACAGACATCCGGGCTGAAGTGGACACATTCATGTTTGAAGGCCATGACACCACCACCAGTGGCATCTCCTGGTTTCTCTACTGCATGGCTCTATACCCTGAGCATCAGCAGCGCTGTAGAGAGGAGGTCCGTGAGATCCTAGGGGACAAGGACTCCTTCCAGTGGTGAGTAAGGTTGAGAGTGAGCCCAGTCTGTTGTGCTCAACCCAGGGAGAGGCTGTGCCCATTCTGTCCTGTGCCATCCTGTCCTGTGCCTGGAGATGAGGTGAGGTGACTGACCTGTTTCTTCTGGTGCTATGGCTTTTGTGGGTGGCTGAGCGTGTATGTACCCTGCAGCCCACTTCTCCCAAATGGAGCCTTTTCATTGTCACATAGAGAAAGTTTTCAATAAGAGGCTGATATTTATGAATTGAATTTCTATGCTGGTAGAACATGAATACCCTTCTGGGTTCCTGGACAGAGCAGGGAGGGCTGGGAGAGAAAGAGGAGGAAGTTGCTAAGGCGGTAGGGAGAGCCAGCCTTTGTCACCTGCCTTTGGGTGGTAGTACACAGCCTCTGGACTCCTACATCTTTTCCCTCTGGTGAAGGACAAAGAACTTTTTCCCAAACTCCATCTCTTAAAAACTTCCAAATGTTCCGCCTTGTTTCTTGGCTCAATACTGAAGTCCTGAACACGGCACCTGATTGGCCCCAAACTCTTTTTGCAGTGTGATCTCTAGGAATCTCTCACAGCCTCCTCTCCCCCAACTGCCTCCTCCCCTCAGGCCTTTGTGTCCTGCCAGGCACCTCAACTTTATGGGCTCCTGAACTGCCTCTAGGACAGACAAGACACATAGCAGAGGTACATAAAGTGTCCAGTCAATGGAGGAACTTTGGGTTCACTAGAAGGGTCTGACCTATATGTAAGTCTAGGATCTGAGACCTGGAAGAATCTCTGTTATTCATTTTTATTGTTTGGATGTAGGAACCTTCCAGGGTATCCAGCCGGGTGACAGGTAGTATATGTGGGGCAAATGGGAAGAGGAGGAGAAGCCAAGTTGCTATTCTTGGGAAGTTTTTAGAGACAAATTCACATAACTGAAAAGTTAGAGAAAAACAGAGGGAGGAATAAGGTTGAGAGGCCTGGATATTGAGGACAGAGGCATCAGAAGGTGTGGGGCTCACCTTGACTTTATAAAGAGGATTTCAGTTGGGCAACAATGTGAACATACCCTGAGGCAGGTAGTTCAAACATTCTGCTTTCCCTTCATCCTGTTTAGAACTTGAAGCAACTTAGAGGACACATATTCAATAAAACAATACAACAAATGAAAAATCGGGACAAGAGGGAAAATAACTTGGGAGTTTGGGGCTCTCTGTAATAAGATATTTCACAGTAGTTATAGTTGGACCTCACATTTGAGTCTGGGCTTCCTGGTGACCAAGTGTGCGTGTGTAGTGTGCGAGTGTGTGTGTGTGTGTGTGTATGTGTGTATATTTATCAGTTTATCATTCTGTACCCCTTGAACAATTCATGAATATAGGTTGGTTAATTAAATCAACATACACTCCTGTCCTTTCTGTTTCAAGTCTGCAGGGGAAACTAGCAGAACCTACAGAATTGTCCCTTGTGGGGCTTTGATGGGGTCCTGAGATACGTACATAGATCTGTCCTTGTCTTTGATGGCTGGATGCATACATTTCTAGGGTATTGTGCCTTCCTCTCCTAGCAGCAAAGATGAGGAGGGGATGGGAGATAGTGGAGCCAGATTGCTGGGGCTGAGTGGCCACACTGTGTCTGATCTGGCTGGGCACTTGGAGCTTTTGTGCCCCCTCTGACTCTTGGATGGATGATGGTGGTGAGGTGGGAAGCTGGGGCTGGGGTCTATTTTCTTCCAGGATTCTACTACCCCCCATTCCCAAGTGTCCTCTGTTGCTGGCAGGGATGATCTGGGCAAGATGACCTACCTGACTATGTGCATCAAGGAGAGCTTCCGTCTCTACCCACCTGTGCCCCAGGTGTACCGCCAGCTTAGCAAGCCTGTCAACTTTGTGGATGGTCGCTCACTGCCTGCAGGTGTGATGGGGTGGGTTTGTGGGAGTAGAATCAGAGTCCTCTGGATCCTCTTCTGAAACCTCCTAGATTATTGGTCAAATCTTTGCACCAAAGGGAAAGAGCTCAGGCTTTGCATTCAGAGCCCTGGGTCAAACCAGCTTCACAACATATTAATTAATTCCTCCACCTCTAAGCTTCCATTTCTTCTTATGTAAAATAGGGGTGAGGAGAATAGCTACTTTTCAAGTTGTTGTCAGGATTTAAGAGACAATGTTCATCAGGGCTCTCCAATACCACCGTGCATACCCAGGTTGAGTTCTAGACAACTTCAGGGGGCAAGATTCACTATAGATAGACTATGATGTTGTGCAGTGTACAACATACACAGCAATACATGATGTAAAGAGTGTGCAGACCTCCACCCAACCCAACACATAGGACATACCAGTGATTGGTAGCTGTTACTATTAATAACATAATCTTATGAATAATAAACTTACTGAGAGTTCATTGAAAGCAGCAAGGATATTAAGACCCTGTCTGTCCTACTTTATGGTAGGGTGGGTTCATTTCTCCTTTATTTCTTTCCACAATGTCTGTGTCAGGACCATGCCCAGTGCTGGGTCTATAGAAACCAGTCATGATGATGATCAAGCTACTTTGATGAGTGTGAACATAAGTTGTCTGTCACTGGCAGTGGATAGTAGAGGATTTAGCCTTTATATGGAGGGGAACTAGCTGCTCCAGGAACACCTTGTCACCAGGCCTCTGTTCCACCTACAGGCAGCCTGATCTCTCTGCACATCTATGCCCTCCATAGGAACAGCGCAGTGTGGCCTGACCCTGAGGTACTCCATCTCTGGGCCTGGAGTCAGACTGGGTGGGGGAGGGTATGGGGCTTATACTATGCCAGGACCTGGTGGATATTTAAACAAAGCATGATCCCTTAGGTTTTTGATCCCCTGCGCTTTTCCCCTGAAAATATGTCTGGACGCCACCCCTTCGCCTTCATGCCCTTCTCAGCTGGGCCCAGGTAGGAAGAAACCCAGCATCTTCAGGCTCTCAAGGCTGTGGAGGGGGGTGCAGGACATCATGGGGGAGGCATCATTATGGAGTGCTTCATGATGAGGGGGACCATGCTGGGTCTGTGGGTACCGTCATGCAGGGTAAACTCCAGGGAACTTTCTTACTATTGTATTCCTGTCCTAGGGAAGCGGGTGGGATGGGTGAGTCATCCAGGAGAGACCTCAAACCAGAATCCCCAGTGTAAAGCTACTCAGCCTGGGCTCCTCATCATTCTCCCAAGATCTGTTTCTTAAGTCCAAATCAATAAATCCACCAGCCAGTTTCACAACCAAAAATAGTTATCGATTTCTGTTGGCTACTAAGAGTCCTGAATTTCACCAATCTCAACACTCCAGGGAGCAACATCTCTTTGTGCTGTTCACTGTAGGAATTGCATCGGACAGCAGTTTGCCATGAATGAGATGAAGGTGGTCACGGCCCTCTGTTTGCACCGCTTTGAGTTCTCTCTGGATCCCTCGCGGGTGCCCATCAAGATGCCCCAGCTGATCTTGCGCTCCAAGAATGGTATCCATCTCCACCTGAAGTCTCTGGGCCGTGGGCCTGGGAAGTAGCTCTATAGAGAACCAGGAACCAGATAACCCTGGCAGTGGGCTCTCCCCGGACACTGCCTTCTGAGTTGGATGTGGAGTGGTTGAGGCTCTCTGGCTTCTGGAGGCTTGTAATTTGGAAGGGGAATAGGCACTAACATAGACAGCTTCCTAGAGGAGAGTGCCACATCAACATGTATGTATAAATGCTTGTTATGCATGTATTCTAGAGCTGATTCAGTCATTCAACAAACACTTAGTGAGCACCTACTTGCTTAGAGAAAATTTATGTCCCATAATTGACAATTGTTCTAAAATGTAACAAAACATACATTCCAGCCTCAGTGACTGCATTGGAAGCTCTGCCTCTGGATTCATGATGGAGGGACGGCTCAGGGCATTGTCCCTTCATTGAGATGTGTTTCTTTTTTTAACCGTGTGTGTGTGTGTGTGTGTGTGTGTGTGTGGTTTGGAATATAACAGACATAACAGAAATTCACATAAACAAAAACTGAAAAAAATTATGGATAATTCTAAAGCACACCCCCCCTCCCCTGCACCCCATGAACACTGAGGAATTGGAAGATGGTTTCTCCAGGGTGTCTCTGTCCCTCCTGAGATGGATCGCTGTGGCATCCCTGCCATTCTCAGCAGTGATATCTCACAGTGCTCTAGGCATTCAGGGTTAGGCTGGGGAAGGTGGCAAAGTGGCATTAGAGGGGGACTTGCTGGGAGAAAGAAAGTCCTTCTTGAATCAGGTGTTGAGTTATGGGTGAGGTATGAAGCTGCAAAGGGCTTTTGGGGAGGGCCTCAAACTGGGAACCACATGATGACCCCTGGGTGGCACCCAAGCTTAACTCAATTTGCTTCCCTTATCTCTGGATATTTAGCCCTCAGACAGTTACCTGGTGTCAGCAGGGTTGATGACCCTCCTGATGGGAGGAGTCTGTGATCCCATTTCAATATTAAGGGGAGGAACCTGTGATGCTTATCTAGAAGGAACGAGCTGGGGCCTCCTAACTCAGGCATATGTTGACCAAGACTCCATTACTAGTACTGCCAATCTCCCTGACAGTATGTGTCTGTGAAAGATTGACCTGAGAGCTCTGGCGCCGGAGGGGAGGGGAGGCTACCTCCGGGAGGGCAGAGGGAGGCTGGGACTGTTGGGCAGCACAGTTAAGTTCTTGTTAATCCATCTAGTTCTCTAAACATAACCCTCTGTCTCCTGTAATCCTGGGCATCTATGTGCACATGTGTGTGTGGATAGAGTGTGGAGTGGGCAATGGGTGTGTAGGAGTGGTTTACATGAGTATCTCTGTGCTTGAGTCATGGGAGGTGGGTATATGAATGTGAATCAGCCTGGCTCTTGCCTGTTACTTGCAGGCAACAGGGTCAAATTTTTGGCAACACACTTTTTTTGGAATCTTGTGGTTAGAACACCTGCCCATGGTTGGCAACCCAGAATTCTGAGCTCCTATTTTCCTGTTCTCTATGAGTATGGCCAGCATGAACCCTTATGTATCATCTGGTACCCGGGGACCTACTAAACCTCCTCCTGTAGCATTCCCTGCTCATTCTCCTGCCCCAACTCTCTCCTCTCCCCTTGGTCAAGCACCAAATGTCCAGCCCTTTCCTGCCCCTCTTCAGATCAGGACTGAACAGCTTAGTGACCTAGGAGGTCAGGAAACAAGGAAGGAGGTCCTGGCTCAGGCAACTTGGGGAGAAACCCTTTCCGCGAAGCAGAGCATAGGATACTGGGGAAGGCGAAGGACTCCAGGGAAGTCTGTCTATGGCATCCTGAACTACGAACGGTTCAAGGAAATAAGGGAACCTGTGTTCAGATCCAGCAAGACAAGCAGGGTGTGGTTTGAGAGAGGATGATTGAAGTACAGACACCAGCCCAGGGAGCCTGGTGGGAGTACTGAGGGACATGGGTGCTGAAGACCCAGAGATAAGGGAAGCAGATGCAGTTGTGCTTGGATGGCACACAGGGGTCATCCCAGGGCAAGGAGCACTAGCGTCCAGGCAGTTACCAGATGTGAGCAAGGTCAATGAAGCCCCTCCTCAGAGTGGCCAGGCATTTGCTCATCTGGGTTCCTTCCAGCCTTTACTGGAAAACTATCCACTCCTGAACCTCCTGAGGAGGCTGGGACTCGTGGGTTATCAGGTGTCTGATGACATGGCCAGGCTGGGCTCTCTTCTTGCATCTCACTGGGTCTGTGACAAGCAGGGTCCTCAGCCAGGTGTGGTGGTGCATGCTTATAATCCCAACTACTCTAGAGGCTGAGGCAGGAAGATTGCAAGTTCAAGGCCAGTCTCAGCAACTTAGACTCTTGCAACATAAAATAAATAAAAAGAGGTGGGTATGTAGCTTAGTGGTAAAGTGCTTCTGAGTTCAATCCCCAGTACATCAAAAAGAAAAAAAGAAGAAATAAAAAGGTCCCCCAGGTCTCATGCCAGACCAGGACCGCAAGTCTTTCCTGCTCAGCTCAACTCAAGAAGGGCTCTAGCTGGGACCTATTCTGAAAAAAATCTAGCATGAGAAACATTCCTTGAATAGAATGGAGGCCTGGTCTTTTTTTTCCCCAAAAGGTGTAAGCCTCTCCCTCTGAGTTCCCAGACAAGAGATTTTTTTCTAAACACAGCCACTACATGGGACCCTCATCAGCTATGGGGCATCAGGGTTCATATGGGTGAGATGTCTGGAGAGGTGGACCAGGCAGGAGTCAGTCCTGGTACTACAGGGAAAATGTCATCTCCTGCTCCTTCCTCAGAAAAGACTTGTCTCCCCGCCTGTCTCCCTTTCCCTCTATCTCCTCCCAAGGGAAGACAGGCACTACATGTGATATTAGGAACTTTATTTCAGGGAGGAGGGAGATGGAGAGGTTTATGTGAAAGACAATCAGGTAGACAGAAACCATGTAGGAGAGGTTCAGATAGACAGATGAGGTGCCATTTGGGGAGGGATTCTGTTGGGCTCATTATTGGCTTCTAATGTTGCTCAAATCCTAAACTTTAGAGCCCATGAATGTGTTACCTCATATGTCAAAAGGAACTCAAGTTTTAATTAAGTAAAGGATCTTGAGATGGGGAAATAATCTTGGATCACCTGGATGGACTTGATGTAATTATAAGGTTCCTTACAAACAGGAAGGAAATGTGAAGACAGTAAGAGAAAGAAGTTTGAAAAGATGCTGGCTTCAAAGAAGTACAAGGGAGCCAGTATGGAGGAAAGCAAGGAATGCAGCTTGAGTTTGAGAAGTCAAGGGTCAAGATTCTCTCTAAACCCTGCAGAGGAAGGCTGTTTACATTCTCAATTTGGTCTTCTCTCAGTGATACCCTCTTTGGATTTCTGATTCCAGAACTGTAAAAGAATAATAATTCCCATCATTTAAAACCACTAAGGTTGTGGTTAATACAGCAGTGTTAGGAAACTCAGAGAGAGAAAAACATGTAGGAGGAAAGGGAAAAGACAGGTAGAGGGGCAGGCAGGCTGGGTTATGTGCATAGTCAGAGATGTAGGCAGGTGGGAGACAGGGAGATAGACAAACAGGTAGGGAGCCTGGAGGCAGGTGAGAGGACAGACAGGAGGACAGGGAACAGGCAGATGGGAAGAAAGGCAGGTAGGCAGACGGGAAAGCAGGATGTGGGCAGATAGGCTGGGGACGGGAGCAGGTGACAACACAGCTAGGAGGCCTTCAGAGCCTGCACTTGACCTACCAGTGTTAGTGGAGTTTTCTGAGACGCAGGTGGATCCCATTCTTGGACTTTAATACAAGTCGCGGAATGGGAAAGGGGATCCTGGTGGGATCTGGCAGCAGCTCAAAGCGGAGCAGGGTCAGGGCCACAGCCACCTTCAGCTCATTCATGGCAAACTGTTTCCCGATGCAGTTCCTGGGCCAGGCAGGGACAGTGAAGTAAGCATTGGTCTTAGGCCTGTTCTAGGCTGGGCAGGCAGTGGTCCCTGAGCACCAGCCCAGAGCTGGGCATTCAGGGTCCTCTTTCATGGGGCCTGCCTGACACCTTTACTTACAGATCACACATTCCTCTATCTCCAAGCCTTGGTTCACACTCTCCTGATCTTTGACAAGGTCTATGACTGTTTGAAGACTGGCCCTGATGCTACTTTTACTTTCAGAAGCAGGAAATTTCTATTAGGACCGCACCAGTACTCTAAGGGACAGAGTCCAATCACATGAATAACTTAAATAATTAATTTTTGATTGTACATTCCATCTAAGAGGATCTAGGGACTGAATTCCTCATAGGGAAGCCAGATATCAATGAAGAAGCTCCTAGAGTAGGAGATGGGTTGGGGATCCTTGAGCTGCAGCCCCATCTGCCACCCACAGGGTGATTAGGCTCCTGCCACTCTCTAACCCCCTCATTCCACTAGTATCTGTAGCCTTCTACTTATACTCCAGAACTGTCCCTATTTGCCATCTTTAGCTGAAGATTGAATCCTCTCCTGGACTCCTCTGGTGTTCCTGCGTCCCTCTCCCTACACACCAAGCCACAGCCCAACTCAGACATTCCCATGCCTTCCATCATGCTCTCCATGTCCAAATGCCCAAGCTCCCTCCACATCTCTCTGGATTGCTGCCTTACCCACCTCCTGCCTGTCCAGTCTCACTTCCTAGCTCAGCTCAGGCTGTGGGGATCATAGAGAATGTTCCCTTCCATCTCTGCCTACATATCTTAAAATCTCAGATCAGTGATCAGTTGGTCCTCACCCCATGCTAGCTGACTCTCCTTCCCCCTCCCAGGCCTTAAAGGTGCCGTCCAAGCTTTATTTAAGGACACATCATAGTCCAGGGCCAGTCTGCACAGTGCTAGGGATGTGGAATACTCTACAAACTGCTCAGATGAGTGAGTGAAAGAATAAAGAAGGGAACAATGTGTCTTAAGCTTAGGTATTTGTCTCTAGAGAATGCACTTTTTTTCCTCGACTTTGAATTCTTGGAGTCAGTGATAATATCTTTCATCTCTATGTTCCTGTCACCTAGCCTATATAGGACCTGGCACAGAGAGGCTGGCTTAATAATTTATCTTACACTAAATAAGTTAATTAATGTCACTTGATTTTAAAAATTCGGTTCACTTAAATTTAGTAATGGAATGTAAAACAGAATGGAATACCACAAAAGGCCATATTGGTTTTGACCTAAACTATCTAATACTCTCCTGACCCCTAGTGGCAGCAACATGATTTGCAGCCATCGTAGGAAGAAGTAGTCCCGGAATTAAACAAATCCTAGAAAACCAATTTCTGGAAAAACAATTTGCTTAAAGCCTCTTCTATGGAAGCTGACTTACCATTTGAAGGATTCATAGGCATATGGGCTGAGAAAAAAGCCTACTTCTATTAGCTTTTAGTAAAATTTATATGATGTTTTGTCTCACTGGATGATTTCAGCAGCTTTTGTGGATGAAGGCAGCAGCCCTTTTGGAGTGAACCCTTTTGGAGGAAGCTTTCAAATGTTATGTGCCACATACCAAATAGAGTGGCTTTCTCTCAAAGGCAGTTTACTGTCCTCATTTTAATGCTTTTTGTCTGAAGCTGGACTGTAAGTGTGATTTCAAGGTACGTAGACCTTACTTCATCTGTCAAATTTTGACAACTAGGAATGTTGTACGGGGAATGTGAACATTAACATATAGTCAAACATCATGTTGGGAGAGACTGCAAACGTGGAGGCTAAGGGGCCATATACACTGGTGGGACACTTTCTTCAAATAGCTCACCTTTCAGTCTCTAACTGAACAGTTGGCACATTCCAGGCCTTGGGAAAACAAACACTAGCAAAGTCGTCACTTCCTTCAGTGATCTGAGGATTGGTGACTTGAACAGAAAGGGTGGTGGGCTGGATTTAGAATGTGTGGGAAGAGAGGGCTCCACCTGGTAAGAATCCCGGCAACTGAATTTCTAATTCACAAAGTTATATCCTTAAAGTGAGAAAAACACCAGAACATGCTGATGTGTGGGACACCCTCTGACAGTGAAATTTGTCTGACCTTGGGAAGGGCAGAGGACCAGCATGTCCGTGGTGTGCCCTGCAGTGCCATGGTTCTTTCATGCACGACATGCCCACATGAGGTTTCTTTCCCACAAACACCAACAAACAACACCATCCCTGAAGATGCTGTACAGCAACTTAAGGGATCACAAACTTTGGGTATATGCCCAGAGATGACTCCTCTTTCCCCCATCCCATGACCAAGACAGGACCCCTCACCTGGCTCCTCCTGAGAAAGGCAGGAATGAGTGACTGTGTCGGGAAGAATCTGGTGCAAACCGGAAAGGATCATATACCTGCAGAGAGAGAGCAGCAGGACCAGGATAGACAGAGGTCAAGCTTCTGATTCTGATCCACTTGGGGACAGACTATCCAGAGGTGGGTGTAGAGGGAGGTGGTATCCTCAGAGATCATTTCCTCCCATCCCCTCCGGACCTCCATACCTCTGGGTTTGGCCACGCTTTTGAGTTGTGGTGAAGGCCATAAAAGGACAGTGTGACTATGATGCCTGTGGGGCAGAGAGAAGATCGATGATGCCCATGGGGTGAGGCCATGATCCTCCAGCCAGCAGGGGACATGCATGCACAGAAGGCTGTTCCTATAAAGCATGACTCTGAGCAGAACGTGTGTGGATTTGACAAAACACCTGAGCCCTGGCAAGGAGTAGAAAACCACAAATCCAAGAGCGAAGCAAGAAAGCATCGTACCTTACTTTTGGGAATAAATCTAGTGGGAGCTTATGTTTTTGAAAAATTTCCACTGAGGAGTACACACTAATTCATTTAGTCCTTACAACAACCCACCAGGGAAGATGGCGGGATCCCTATTTTTCAGATGAGGCAATTAAATTTCAGAGAGGAATTGCCTATGATCACATAGGTAGGATGTGGCAGGGCTGGGATTCAGACCTAAGGAGGTATGAGCCAACAGATGGTTGGCTACCATGGCAGGGATCTCATATCCAGTCATAAGCTGCTCTCTGTCATCAACCTGAGGCTCCTGAGGGACTGGACCACATCTGACCCATGCCATGAAATTTGCTTATTTCTTTTATTTTCCTTGACTGAACGAAAGAACCACTTCTCCCTAGCCCCTGTCTACCTTCCATATCTCAGGAAATAGAATTTTAGAGCTAAAGTCATGAGATATTACATCCAGAGGCTGACATCTCTGTAGAGAAGTTTCCAGGGATTGAGATGCATCACATTTATAGATATGTGCACATAATTATTTTCATTTCACCAATTTTTCTGCACATTATACATCCTCTATATTTCTTCACAAATATAGAGGATGATAAAAATGATATGACAATGAGGACATATGAACATCATGGATGCCCATGATTCCTACAATGTTGAACTAGAATCAAAGAACATCAGTGCCAACAGACTAAAATTAACTATAGCACCATAAGACCAAAGATTCTAAAGAAGAAGGAATGTTTGCTAAAGAACAAGATAAGTTTAGGATGCTAGTTATGTGGACTATTAAAATTGGAAGGAAATTTATAGGTCATTTGGGCATATGTACTGGAAAATACACAGGGAGGCATAGACAGGTTCAGAACTGCTGAAGCACGTGGGGATTTCTGATCCTTCTTATCTCTGGGGAGATCTTATGTGAATGAGTCTGGGAAGATCATACCTTTGGGTAAAGAGCGTCCATCAGGGAAGGTGACAGGTGTTTTGAGCTCTCTGACAACAACTGGTACTGGTGGGTAGATCCTCAGGGCCTCCTTGATGCACATGGTGGTGTAGGGCATCTGGTCCATGTGGTCCCTGAAGTGAGGCCATCTTGAGCAGAAGGCAGGACCTGGGAAGACCAGCACCTTGTCCCTACCAGAGGCAGGGCTCTCCCACCTCTTGAGCTCTCACTCACCAGGTGATGGAGGCTCCGTCCCCCAGGAGGCTCTGGACCTCCTCCCTGCACTTCTTCTGATGCTCAGGGTGTGCAGCCAGAGCATAGAAGATCCAGGAGATAGCACTGGCTGTGGTGTCATGGCCCTCAAACATGAAGGTGTCCACCTCGGCACGAAGGTCCTCATCAGACAGGCTGCTCCCATTCTCCATCTGGGGAGGCCATAGATAAGAGAGCAGGGTTTGTAAACTCCCTCCCCTGGGCAAAGCCCCAGGTTTCTTTCCCACATACTCACTTTGGCAAATAAGAGGATGTCCAGGAAATCCAAGCGCCTCTTCCTCCTGATCTTCTCCAACACTCTCTCATTCTGCAGCTGAGCCTTCCTTTCTTTGATCACTTGGTCTGTCCCAGAACAGCAGTTACCAGGCAGGGCTGAGAGCCACAGAAACCCCCAGAAGCCCCATGTGCCTCCCTGCACCAATTTGGGTGCCTCGTAGAACTCAGGATGTGTGTGGTGTGTGAGTCAGGGGGCCCAGAACAATCAAATGCAGGTCAAACCTCCCGTCTAGAGTACAGCACATAAAGTATTTGTATAAGCTTTCGGGATGGGTCTCATCAATATTACCAATGAGATGGCACAAGTAATCCCTTGCACACCGTCTTGCACCTTAACATTTCAGCTCCCAACCCTTGCAGTAGGGAAGTACTCAGTGTTTGTGTGTCCCAAGTCCTGCTGGAATACCAGAGGACCTGGCTGTGCCTGAGGGGTCATGACCAGCTCTATTAGACTTCCCCTGGTAAAGGAGAGGAGGCAAGGAGGAGACAGAACCTGTGTGCTCATGGGCAAGTTGGCAGGCACGGTGGAACAAACGGCCATTAGAGGACAGACCATATATGGTGTCGTTCTGGTGAAAGGCATTTCTTACACGGTCAAAAAACAGGTTGTTCAGGTCCCCAATGGCTTTGACGTAGGACTGGGAATGCCTGAGGGAAAGGATGCAGAACATTTTGGACTGTGAAGAGAGAGGACCTGCAGGCAGAGTGGGCTCTGTTGTGGAGTTTTCCTGAATTGTGGGGACAGACAACACTAAGACACACATTACTTCTGCCTTACAGACCTTGTATTGGGGATCAGGGTTCTGTGGCTGGGACAGGGTTGATTTTGGTAGGGAATTAGGGCTTAGTCTGGGGCTGGGGTCAGAATCTCTCTTTTTGTGGGGGTGATCATCCATACTGATCTTTCTGCCTCTCAGGTGAGTCTACACCAATTGGTTAAGAACAAGGACTCTGTAGCTGAAGGGTTGTCACTGACCTGTCCAACTGGACATTGCCTTGGTAACTGAAGGCGCACTTCATGATGGAGTCCAGGGTCATCATGGAGATGTGCTGGAAGACCTCCACAGAGGAGTCCTTGTCAATGAGTTTTTCCCATTTGTCCTGTTTTGGGATAGGGGCAATGATCTTCTCATTTTCCCTAGAAGGCTTATGCATCTCCAGATATCCCATTCCATGTCCCTCACTTTAGAGAGCAGATGCACTAAAAACTGCTGAAACAAATGTTTGTTAAATGGTGCCTATATTTTCACAAATTATTTAAAAATTAAGCATAGTATTCTATAATAAATTTTGAATTTTGAAAGTCAGTTATAATGTTTTGTTTGACCAGCAAAATATAGAGCTGAGCTCCATCTGAGGGACTGGTAGGACTCTAATTTTAGGGGACAAATGTCTGGAGGCAAAAGAAAACCTAAAATCTAAGTTGCCGCTATTGGGACTTCTAGTGGGCCACCAGGGACTTTGATTTCTGTTTATTCAACAAAAGTTTACTGAGAACAGTTGGGTCATAAATCAGACTTTTGACTATACTAAGGTTTTATCTGAATCCTGTAATAATGGCAATTATCAAGAATGTAAATGACAATAAAACCTGGTGAGGATGTGGGGGAAAAGTACACTCATACATTGTTGGTGGGACTGTAAATTAATATAACTACTCTGGAAAACAGTATGGGGGTTCCTCAAAAAACTAGGAATGGACCCACCATATGATCCAGCTCCTTGGTATTTATCCAAAAGGTCTAAAATCAGTATACTATAGTGATATGGCCACTTCATAGTTTATAGCAGCACAACCAAGACATAAAACCAGCCCAGATGCCTGTTAACAGTTAAATGGATAAAAAAAATGTGGTGTATATATACATAATGGAGTTTTATGGAGCTACAAAGAGGAGTAGAATTATGGCATTTGCTGGTAAATGAATGGGACTGGAGAACATCATGCTAAGTGAAATAAGCCAGACTCAGAAAATCAAGGTTGAATGTTTTTTTGTAATATGCGGAAGGTAAAGCAAAATAAGGAAAAAGGGGAAGGGATGTCAGATATCATAAAAATATAGAGAAGATCAGTGATGTAGAAGACAGGGTTGAGAGGGAAGGGGAGGGTTAGGAAAGGAGAGGAAATTAGGAATAAATTTGACAAAATTATGCTATGTGCATGTATAAATATACCACAGTGAATTTCACTTTTATGTGTATCTATAAAGCACTGATCGAAAAATAAGTAAATAAATGAGCGAAAGGAAGACCAGTAGAGAAGAGGAAGAAGAATAGGGGGAGGGAGGAGGGGAGGAACAGGAAGGGGCACCAGTGACTGAACTGGAGAAAATTAAATTTTTTGCTATATGATTTTGCCAGAATGAATCCAACAATTGTGTATAACTATAAGCACTAATAAAAGTGCACTAATAAAAATAAATTAGAGTTTATGTTGCAATTGATGGCATGGCAGAGTGGCAGTGAGAATGCAGACCTGGTATCCTTTTCATTGCATATGTTACTCAAGTCCATGCAAAAGCCCTGGGCCTTAGGTCAGAGCCTGACTGAGTGACATCCTGTTAGTTCTAGCCTGCCTTTGAAGCTGCCATTGCCCAGGTCAGCCAGTCCTGCTGTCTGGCATGATTGACTACTCCTCCAGTTGACTGTTCTGAAGACTTGGAAGTGGGATCCAGGGTCTGTATCCACCTTGATGCTTTCTGACTTGCACCATAAGTGAAGTGTGGCTCTATCCTGATGCCTGGGTCCTCTCTGTCCCCTCTAATTTTTAGGAAGTACCGTCCTGAGAGTGTTATTTCATCTGACTCTGTTTGATGGCTGTCTGTGTTAGACAGGGGAATCTGAGAGGGGCTCTTGAGTGGGTGAGTGGAAATGAAAGAGAGAGACTCACCAACATCACTCGGACAGAGTCAGCCACGATTCCCACGTAGGGCTTCAGGATGTCGTAGTGGAAGGCTGGGGTCAACATCCGCCGGTGCTGGAACCACGTCTGTTCGTTTATCAGGAGCAAACCATATCCTGGACCAGAGATGGATAAGTGTATGTGGATTGAGGATACAGAATCAGAGATACCCCTGGGATAATTAGGGAGGTACTATGGGGGTAGAGATGGGGAAGATAACATTGAAGAAGGTGGAATTTCTTGGACAAAGGAAGGAGGGACATGGTGCATTTCAGGAATGTGAATTTCCTAAATGGGCTGGTATATCCGGCTACAATCATGAAAACTGTGAGATAAAGGCTGAAAAAGTATTGTGGGCAGGAAAAAAAAGGCCATAACTAAATGTTAGCCTGGGATGTTTGGAGTAGAGAGATGGCAGAAGACTAGGAGGTCTCATACCAGCACAGGAAGGAAGGAGGGTATGGTTAGAAGAAATGAGACTTGATTTGGGGATGGGACATTCCTTGGCCTGTCACCTGTTGATCCTGTGAACCAGAGAATAACACTGGAAACCTAACTAGAGACATACATACCAATCCAGGGAGCCAGGAATCTGTAGGTACCAGAGGCCTTTGGATCTGAAAGGTTTAAAGTAAAGGTTTAACAGGAAACTGGGGACCAAACAGTGCAGTCCCAAGGTAGCTGTGGTGTAGACCATGTGCTGCCACGAGTTCTTGATGACTATCAGTTGGCAATTCGTTCCCTCCCATCCCTTCTCTGTCCTGATAGTCAGCTGGGCTCAGGAAGGCAGCTCCATAGACCAGAAGCTGAACACCCCCAGGACTATGATGAAGAGAAACAGGCCATGTCATCAGTGCCAAAGAACAGGACAGAGCTTCATTGTTTTTCTATAATGGATGGTGGCTTAGTCATCCTGTGACCCAAGACAGGTGACAATTAGAGGTTTCGAATACAAGCCAGTGTGGATATGAAGTTTGGTTTTTTTTTTTTGGATCTGGGGCAATTTGCATAACAGATTGCCTCAAGATTTGATTTAAAAAGAAAGATAAAAACATTAAAAAAGTTTCCCTCCACACAGCTGTGTTATATCTCCAGTATTTGGGCCATATGCTGGGTTGTGGCCTGGGTAAATGGTTGGTAGTGGTTAGGGTTGATGGCTAAAGCATCACTCTGCTCTGGAATATGACAGACCAGGGGCATATACTAAAGAGGGAGGAGCTTCTCTTGCCAGAATGAGGTTTCTCTCTCACCTGATCTCCCCAGAATCACCTTCATGTAGTCAGGGTCATAGATAACCATGTGAGCTTTGCTGCCCCAGAGCCAGCGAGGAAAGGCACTGGGGAACTTCTCTACCCATGACAGAATCTGTTGCAGCTCCTGATCCTTTTGGATCTGTCATCAAAGGAAAGACAAATGAATAAAATCTTTTGTTTAGGTCTAGTCCTTGCAATAGAGTGATGATCAGGGTGACCACAGGGACATAGTTATGGATCTTTCAAGAGATGTTAGAGATTTGGAGCTGTTTTTGCTGACCTATCTGTGCTGACTTCCAGAACTTTGGTGTCTCCCAGCACTTGCTCAAAGCTGGGATCCTTTGGCCCTGTAGGATGGAGCTGTTGGCATCAGAGCCTCGTTCGTGACATAAGCTCCATATCTTCCTCCTCCTCTTAAGTGTGTTCAATGCACAATCCCTTGCTGAGCCCCTCTCTGTGCTCCTTACATTGCTTTGTGCCTTCCTTCCCCAGAGCTGTCAGGATAGGGGGTTGGTACTGCACCTCCCCAGCCCTTTGGCTTCTTCTTTCCTTCCTTTTTCTGTGACTCTACACACCTGTGCCAGGCTCTGTGCTGGGCACTGAGTTACAGCAAAGAACCTCACAGTGTAGGGTTGCTGAGAGCCACGGCTGAGTATTGATTGACAGGCGCCTCTGCCTGTCCGCCTCTGCCGCAACTTTTGAGTTCTCGCACTATTTTGGAGTTCTCGTGGGGATTTCCGGGGATTCCCCGAGAGTTCCCATTGGTTGGGGAAGTGCAGGAGGAGGGATTTCCGGGAGATATAGTTCCGGCTGGGGGTTCCTGGACAAGCCTCGTGGCGCGTTCGGGAGGATTTCCCCGGGAGCTGTGTGAAGTGTTTTTCTGCGTTTTAAAAATAAAGTTTGTTCCTGCTTCAGTGGCTCGTGATTTGTGCCCAGCCAGACTGCGGCATTTGGTGGCCCGTACGGGGAGCCCCGGGACACTCGGGGGTAAGTGACAAAAAAAAAGCTGCCCGTCCATAGATAGGATGGGGGCAATCTGCTCGTCCCTAGGCAGATAGGGCGAGAGGAAAAATGACCATTTCGAGAAAATGGAGAAGATTGATACAGTATGTTTGTGTCTTGTTTTGTCTAAGTGTATTGTATTGTCTTTGTGATGAAAATATGGAAGGGGTGAGAAGTAAATTACTAAGGGAAGAAGACACCCCAGTGGAACCAAGAATAGTTAGGGCATGTGTTGATGGAAGCCCAGGAACTCTAGTCAGAAAGAAAAAGAAAATTCAGAAGAAGAAGGATTATCAGGAAAAAAGTTGCAGCAAAAGGCTGTTACTAAATACTTTTCGTTACCGGAGGGTGCGTGAAGCGGAGAGGCGGCTGCCGAGTGTGCAAGCCAGTCACAGCGCAGCAAGGATTTTCCAAGAGGCGGCGACTGGCCCTTCCCCGCCTCCTGGCCAGGGAGCTGGCTCTTCCACTGCCGCGAGCCCAAATCTAGACCTGACCTGGAGGCACAGTCTCGCAGGCTCTTGCTCCCTGTGCCCAGTAGCAGTTTGAGTCCGGGACACTCCCCAGGGCCATCTGGGGCTGCCCAGGATGCCACAGCTGGCAGAAGACGCTACCAGCGTCCCTGATGTTTGGTCATTTTCAATGCCAATAACTAAGCTACAATGGTTCTCCCACACCTAGAAGCTAATGAGTAATAACACTATTAATGCTTATTTCAAATGTAAAAAACCTTGAGATAATGTACTAAATTGTTCAGAAGGTTGTTTTCTTAGTGGAATGCTACAGGATTTTTTTTAGCCATCCGGAGTTCCTGCCTTCCTCCCAGTGCCAGTGAAGATGAAGGTGGAAGAATTTCCAGTGTTGCTGAGAACCAGACGAGACTTCAGCTGAGAAACGGACGAGACTTCAGATCAAGCTAGCTGCCTGCAGAACTTACCTGGACTGTGATTTAAGCTAGCTGCCTGCAGAACTTACCTGGACTGTGATTTACCTGGACTGTGAGTTAATCTATTGAGACACTGCTTTACCTGGACTGAGACAACAAACTGTAATCTATATCTTTGCAAATGGTGTCATTGCTGGTATAATTTTTCCAAGGGCTTCTTGCATGGAGCCATCAAGTGGCTTGGTATTGTGGCATTTTGTATCCTCCCTTTCTGTTTGTAGCAGGTTATTTATGGTGTTTCTGTAAAAACCACTATGGTCGTTATTTAAATTAAACAAAAGGGGGAAATGTTAGAGTCTGTAAACAAGTCAAAATAACACCTGGCATTTTGCCAGGGGAATGTTAAAGTTCGTAAACAAGTCTGGATGGTGCCTGGCAAAATGCCAGAGGGAGTGGTTTGAAAAGTAACAAAAGTGAGCCATTAAGTGTGGAGATTCCTTATTGGTTGACTGATGTATCTAGTTTATGCTAATTAGATAAGCTGTGTGGAATGTATAAATACTGCTCCTGTCCTGCAATAAACGGCTCCTACTCCTGCTGTATCAACGTACACAAGTTATTCATCACCCCCTGGTTAGTTTGCCCAGCCAGCCGGGCTGCGGCATAGGGTGAGTTGGAGCTAAACAGATCTTGTCTAATAGGGTAACTCAAACATCAGTCTCCCTTACCTGGAAGGTACAGTGCTTCTGTCCCACTCACATGGGCCTATGATCATCAGGGTTTCAGTCCCTAAAATCACCTATTGTGAAAATTCCCTTGATCTTCAGTAAACCTAGCTGGTTGGTCCCTCTACTTGACATTCCCCACCCACTCCAGCAAAGTAAACTCTTTTACTGTGGTTTGAAGTCTTTTGAGGGTCTTTAAAATTGTCACCACACAGCATAATTCCTCAAGGCAATTTTTATGAGGTTCCATAAAAATCGAGGCAAGCTCCAGATCAGGTACTGATGGCATTCAGTGACTGGGACAGGTGAGCATCTAGGAGGCTGGTTCTTTGAGAAGAGCCGAGGAAGATAGCAGTGCTCAGCTTGGAGAGGAGGAGACTCAGAAAGGACCAACCACAGTCCTCCAAATGCAGGGCTGCCAGGACAGATGTCAGATCTGCCTGGTGATGCAGTGAGTGACAGAGCTGAGTGACAGAGCTGAGTAACAGCAGGACAGGCTTCTTTTGAGGGAGTGAGCTCCTGGTGCTGGGATGGGCCAAACCTAATAGATAATCTGGGTTTCCTCAGTGCATGCAACAGGCTTTGTCCGTGGACTTCCTGGCCAGTCTCCGGGCTACAGCCTCCCTCCCTCCTACTCCCCTTTCCATTGGTTCCTACCTTGTGGCCAAAGAGCCAATGGGAGGGTGCGGATGGAAACTGCTGGAAGGCTTTGAGCAGCCACTGCCTGCGCAGGTAGAGCTGGGCTGCCTTGAACAGCAGCAGAAGCAGGCAGAGCAGGGAGGCCAGCTGGAGGAACCCAGAGATGCTCCCTGGGAGTCTGGTGAGGCTCAGTGCAGAGACATTCATGGTGCAGCAGCTTCTGGATCACTGTCTGTTGCTATCACCCTTGACTTCCTGTACTTATGCTCTGGGAGGATTTCCCCGCCCACCTGGAAAATGAGGGCAGAGCTTGACCTGAGTCCAGAGTCGATTAACCTGAAACATCCACACGATTCTCCTTGGGAGGCAGAAAGTTTTAGTCAGCTGACTGTGGTAACGGTCATGCACACACCCACTTTCCCCTCTCTGTATTATTTTTTTGTACACACTTATGGGGTACAGTGTGATATTTCAGTACATGAATATAGTATGTTCTGATCAAATCAGGGTAATTATCATTTCTTTCTTCTTACATATTTATCATTTCTTTTTTTTCTACTGCAAAAGTTTTATTTTATTTTATTTTTTAACTAACAAGATTATCACACAAAAATAGCTATTCTGCTAAAACGTGTCTGAAGTGAGGGTCGCCATGCCCTGGGCTTTTCCCCAGACTTCATGGTTTATTAAGGCTGCCACTTTCCTGGTCTCAGCAGAGAGTTCCTTGAGTTCACTCAGGAAGTCCAACACCTGCATATTTACATCGGAATTGCCCATGCCAAGTTCTCCTGGTAGGAGGTGAGTGCTCATCAATTTAGAGCATCTAAGTACCACAGCTGCCAGTCTCCCACTAGGTGTATCCATCACATGGGCAGCTGTTGCTGCCTGGTGTCCAGGGCTGTGGTGAATGAGTGTCTTGCATTGCTTCGTGAAGCATTCAGCCACTTCTGGAGGGGGCTGAGCATGCCCATGTGGGCTTTGGGCACATTTGCCAGCTCCTACTGTCTCTGATGGGAGAAGTCTTAGCTTCAGCTCACAAGCCTTTTCCTGTAGCTTCTCCCTTCCTTGGCACATTATCAATGAATTCTTAGGTGCCCCTCCTTTGAACTGAGCGTGACTGTTCTCCATCCCATGCTATCTTTACTTTTCTGGAGCAGGTAGGGTTTCCTTCCGCCTTTACACACCTCCCACTGGTTTTTAACCCCTCTGCTGCAGGAGCCTTTTTGGTCATGTTCTTCATGTACTGTAAGCGAGGACGCTTGACCACTCTCTGACCTCACACTCTTTTCCTTTTGTCTTGGTGCCAATGGGGGTGTTGGAACAGATTACAGGAGGCTGCTTAGCTGTGACCTGAGGACATCCTCAGTTTCCCCTCTTCCACTAGAAGGCTGGCTCTTCAGGCTATTGTTTCTCTCTTCTGGGAACCTTTGAACTCTTCTATGTCTTTATAAGATATATAATAAATTTTTTTGAACTGTAGTTATCCCCCTGTGCTGTGGTGGTACCTAAACCTCTCTCCTAAATGTAGTTTGGTATCCCTGATCCGAACTCCCTCTATCCCTCTTCCCCCCACCCTTCCTAGTCTGTAGTGGCCACTGTTTTACATTCTACTTCTATAAAACCAACTTCTTAGCTTTCACATTTGAGTGAGAAAGTGTTAGAGTCAGGCCCCGCTGGCAGGCCTGGATGAATGGAGCATTCACAGCAGGAGGAGTGGGCACTCCTCAGCTGTGTCCTGAAAATATCTATCACCAGTGAGATGCATCCGTGGGCCCGGGTTTGGTGTCAGCCAATTTCTAAGGGCTGCACAGGTTCCTTCATGGGGAGTTAGCCCAATGGTTTACTCAGAGGGGGCTGCCCAGCTGTTTACCAGGGCTGCTGGTGGGTGGAAGAGGTCCCTGAGGTTCTTTCTGTAGTCTTGGTGGACTTGCTGCATCATAGGACTACACTTGAGTGAGTTTGCTGTTGCTCAGTAGAAGCATGTGTAGTGGAGGGCAGAAAATGGGCAGGACTCTTCCTTTGGGGGTACTGAATCAGTGTAGATTCTCTGGCAGCTCTGAACACCCTGTGAAGGTTGCAGGCTTATCCAGTAGCAAATTCTTCAGGTATTGGAGGGTTTACTGGGGACTGCTGTGGGCCTCATATTTACTGTGTGAAATTTAGGTTTTACCTTGCTTGGAGAGATGTGATGGTAGGTACATTCTTTAGAAAGCCATCCTGGATATGTAGGCTGTGTGGCCTCCATCATGACCCTGTACTCCTACACTTTCTTCAAACACTCCAGTGAGATGGTAGTTTTGTTTTCTTTGATTTAATCCTTGGTTGTAGAGGGAATGTGCTTGGTAGCTCTAATCTGGCATCCTGCTAATGACAATCCACTGGGTACTTCCTGGGAACCAGGCAGGATGGTAGGTAGTAGGCACAAAGCAATAAAAATAGACATGAATCCTGACTTAAAAGAATTCATAATCTAGTTTACCAAATGTTCAGTAAGTACGATTGGTTGAACTATTATTCTTATTTTATTGATAAGAAATTGATGGCAGAGTGGCAAAGTGATGTTTTTTTGAAAAGAAAGATGACCATTGATAGTCTGTGGTAGGATTAGAATTTTTCCCTATTGGACTATAAAACTGCCTCCCCTGACAACTTCTGAAATGTTTCCAACAACCTTCACCTTTACCTTTCCTAATAACAAGTAATCCATTACATAAACCATGGGACTAGCTCCCCCCGCCCTTCTTTATCCTACAAAAAGCCAGGGGAAAGGGCATGCAGCTATTTACATCCCATTCCACGGAACTTTCCTCTAATTCTGTGGTTATTTTTCATCATTAACTTTACTCTTCTTCCCTGACCTGGGACTCTTGGACCTTGACTCTTACCTTACTTGGCTCAGCACCAACTTTTCATCTATAGATAAGAGACAGTAGTGGGAAGATATGTGGAGTCGGAGTCTGGCTTTGAAATGTGGTTGTGAGTTTTTCTGGCCCTCTCTAAATCCTGAATTCTTCTTTTTAGTGGGGCTCATAGTATGGTAAAAGCTAACATTTAGTAAGTATATGCTGGGCACAGAGCAAAGGACTTTACCTGCTCCTCATCACAACAGAACAGATAAACAACAACAACAACAACAAAACAACTCATACTATAGATGGAAATATGAGGCAGGACAGGTTAGTTGCTTTCTCAGCCTTACCCAGTTGATAAGAGGTGCTTCCAGGATTCTACCTGTCAGTCTTGATCCAAAGACTTAGCTGTTATACATTAGCACAAAGGAGATGAGGACTAGGTTGAGCCTCATGACACTCCACTGGGCACATATCTTACATTGAAGGTCTCAAATGTTCTAGGAGGTATTTTATGTTTGCTATATTTTATCCAGTGGTTCTAAGTAGCAGGAGATGTGACAGATTATCTACTCCACATATAAGCACAAATTCAAGCCTCAATATCCAAGGTAGCCCCTATGAGAAGATGTATGGAAAAACATGTGATTAAACGTGCATAGTCATATGAAGAATTTTGAAGGACATAAGTAAAGCTTATAAGAAAGTGATAAAAAGAGAATATAGAACTGTATCTATATTCTCTATAAGTTTAACTCTTACACAAATTTTGCTTTGCATCATTAATATTTATTAATAAGTAAATACCTTGTCCATTTATTTGGTATTCAGACACTTCAACCAAGACTTCTGGAAAGTTGTTACTGGGCATTGTATGTCCTTATGCTTCCCACTGCATGGAACAGAAGCCTGTGCCTACTGATGGTGACTAATAAATACTGACTAATTTGGTGAATGAGGGAGAGAGGGAATGGGTAAAACTCTGGAGTGGCTGGATTTCCATCTTGACTACAGCAAGTTCAGTTTTTGGGTGCCATAGTTTATAGTAAAAATGAAATCAATATTTTTCCTCCCACAAGCTTTCTGGTTGAGTTTATAAGCAAAGAAAAGCAGAGGAGAGGCTGTGGATTCTGATGAGATATCTTGAAGCAGGTATTGCTTTGGGGCAATCACTCCAGGATTTACTTGTTTTTTTTTTTAAGCCAAATTTGATTTCTTATGTCTCTCGGACCTGAACATTGACACTTTTGCTTATGAGATTGAATTTGAGCTCCCTCTTTTTGCTCATAGGACTAGGGGTAGTAATGGGAGTAAGCTTCCAATGTCCTATATTCCCTGAGCCTGGCCAGCATGACTCCTTGCTGCTCCAACTGAAGCCACAGAGCTGCCAAATATCCTGTCCAGGATCTTCTGTTTCACTCTCCTGCCCCAAACCTCCAGTCAACATTGAGTATCCAGTTGTTCCCTTTCTTTATAATTCCATGGTTGAGGAATACAAGAGTGAGGGAAGAGCTTGGACCTCAGCATCCATATGTGATTAACCTGAGGGATCTGACTTGAGAATTAATGGAAAAGCTTTACCAGTTGACAGAGAAGATGGCCATGTTTATACCCTTCTTCCTTCCCCATATTATTCACAATATTTAGTGAGAGCCTACCATGTACCAGGAAGTATTCTAGTTCATGGGGCACAATGGCAAGGAATACAAGCACAGACTGGATTTCAAGGTATTCATTGTCTTGTTATCAAGTGTTCCTTAGGTGTACCTGATTGAAATATTATCCCAATTCAGTGATGAAAACTAATTAGAGTGAAGTAAAGAGAAGTGTTCAAAGGAAAATCACCATTGGTAGTCAGTCCAAGGTCACATTAGAAATCTTCTCTGTTGGACTCTATAACTGCCTGTCTTAGTTGCCTCAGAAATATTCCCTGGGGTTGTCCTATCCACTTTCCAGTTATGTCCCAGGGCAACTGGGAGGGAACACTTGGATTCAGGTGGCTCAAGGCCCAGGTCAGCTTCTTAGTTCATACAGCCAGCAAGTTATCCTCTCTGCACCTCAGTGTCTGCTTTTATGACATGGGGTAATAATCCTTTTCCCAAATACCCTAGAAGATAGTTCAGTTTTCAATAACTTACTGCTTTAACAAACAGATGTTTGATCTTATGGTCTGGTGGATAAAGGCAAAAATCAAAAGCTAAAAAACAAAATAATTATACAATTAGACATGGTAAGCCTGCACTGGGATAATGAAATGTTCACCAGATATAGAAAAGACTAAATTAGAATAGGGTCTTTTTTTTTTTTCAATTGTTGATGGACTTGTATTTTATTTATTTATATGTGGTGCTGAGAATC